GGTTGACTTGATGACATTATTATTTGAAAGGATAAGCATCCTTTCAAATAATAATGTCATCAAGTCAACCAAACCATCTACTTATTCTTTCAAATAATAATGTCAACATCTTCCTGTCTCCCTGTTCAGTCGTCACTTTACCCATCTATCCATCCAACAACTAGTCTACTCATCTATCATTTTCAAAAATACCATCTATCAACCTTCCAATACATCAAGCATGCCCATGTGATTACTCTCTCACGTATCAATCACCTCTCTTTACACCATCCACATCCACCTATCTATTCATCCAACATCAACTTAGAAACTCACTACACTTTAGTGTTACCCTTCTACCTAATCATCCACACAGCAACTCTAAAATTTGCTTATTCCACCACGCGTCACTCTATTGCACAGCTAATAACCTTTATAGCTAACCATCTATCTCCCCGCCCACTTACCAACCTACTTGTATGCTCCGTAGACGAAAGTGGCGTAAGACAATTAAATCTCTTTGGCAATTCTGCCACCTTTTGTATATCATCAATTATAGTGTACTGCCATCTGTGTGAATTATATGTAACTATTATTCACGTGACCCCGTGCATAACCATACCGTCGGATAGGCTTGAATGTGAATGGTCAAATCGCGATTTATTATTATTATTATTATGTTTTTGAACAACTTTCATCCAAGTTAAGTACTTGTAAGTTTTTACATTGACAAAGTAGATATTTCAGATAATTTCATTTTGTTGATTTATAACAATAAACAGTTATAAACAGCTATCAAAGAAACAGAGTCCAAGTTCACTGAAATAAATTAACGTGCGTTTTGCTTTATCATGAGTGCCTTAGGGTAAGATGCCCTCCGCAGAGCTGATTTACCCCAAACTAGTAATTTTTTTTATTCACGTTTTATATTCAAGTTCTCTTGCGCCATTGTTTTAGATAAGGCGCGTGGTACGTGGCCTTCCTTATCCCTACTGAGAATACTTAAATAATTTAAGGGATTTAAACGCAGTTGCCAAATGCAGCATTACAGTACCTGATGATGACAAAACCTTGTCGAAACGTTGTACATTTGCTGTTATATTAAAGTTTTTCTTCATTACCCATTCAAGCCGTCTCCAGCCATTATTAGTCTCAAAGTGGGTTCCTCGTCATCGAATTCGAAAATGCAGCATTAATTTCAAATTACATTTACTATTATTAAATGGCACCATTATACCATATATTAGTGGCCATTTTAAGCCATTCTTGTAGGTAAAATGGCCCATAACCACAAGAAGTGGATTTTTTTTCAATATCTAAAAAAGGTCTATTTCCAATCTTTAGTTTAACTCGATATTAAATGTATAATAAAGAGTTCATCTTAAAGCCTTTTTTTATAACATTCATCTTAATTAGTTCAAACTTAAAACTGTATTCAAAGTTAAGTTGGCCGTTTTCACCTTCCACCACCATTCTAGTATTCTGCCTTTCCTCCAACATATGAAACAAATAATTTACCTTCCTTTAACATAGCCTATATACTTGCGTTATCACTCTGTCATATAACGTTATCTTTGGTGTAAAATTAGAACACTTGTGCATGGTTACTTATATTCTAAACTATCCAAAGTAATAGTCTTTTGCACGACTGATTGTATTACATTTCACATCACTTTCTAGTGCTTGTTTAATATTATTTATTCATTTACTCGTTGCTAACAAAATGTGTTAATTTTTTTTCAACACCGACCACTAAGGGTACTCTCACCTAGTGAGGGGATTGTTAACTCAAGCGAATCCAGCATGGCACCTACAGCGAGGTTGGTATCTACTGGTTTCTAGACTCTGATCAAAAGTTTTTAACATATCAATGATTTTAATAAATGCATTAAAGTATGAAAGGAAGTGCAGCAAATTTTCGACAAACAGAGATTTGACTGGATACTATATCTTATTCAATAATGAGAGGCAAAATGAATCCGCATCCCCCTAATATAAAAACAATGTTGACAATAAACAGAACATTTAAAAAGGCAAAACATTCTTGGATGTTGAAACTTAAGGTGAGGAAGTACAACTCAAAGAATACATATACTGTATTGAAAAGAAAACTCAAATGTGACACATTTTGAACAACTCATTCTCTGAAGAAAAAAAGAAAATGTACTGCCATGTTGACTCTCTGTATATCTGCTCAAATTCTTTTTGTCTCATTATCTCTGAATGAGATTCCTAATACGAATTTTACTGGAAAAAGTTCCAATAAAATGAAATCTTTAACCTACTTATCTTTATATATTTGTTTTAATCTGTAAAACTTCAACAAAGCAGTTCGTAAACGTAATTATTTATATTTAAAACAGATTATGCTTAAAATAAAAACATATGGCCAGTGCAACGACAACTGAAAATTTTTGGAGTTCTACCTTAACTTCAACTTTTCAACAGAGCATACAATCCAATAATTCTGATCTTATTATACACTTCATAGAAAGTAAACTAGAGCAGGCTGTTCTGGAAAAATATTCTTTTAGCGAGCTTAGGAAATCAAGGGGGTTAATAGTTAATTTACTGATCAAAGTGCTTATCTTGGTGTCACATTACTCGTTTTAATCTGCCAACAGCTGAGTAAAGAAACCTTGTAATTAGTTATTCTGTAACCATAGGGATAGATAGGGATTTAGTTGGAAAAATTAATATATATTAACAAAAGTAAGTTGAAACTGAGATATCAGTGACATGTCATGCTGTTTGAAAAGGTTGAATCTAGTAACGTTGAACCTTTTATTTTGGTATTAAACACAAGTAAAACTAGAGCACATCCTTTATTCTCGTTTATGTCCACAAGTAAATATAAATATATTATATTACTTCGAGTCTATCCAAAAGGACGTTTTTTTTTTTTTGATAATGATAATGTAATGGTGGAACAGTAGCTTCAATAATTAAAATTGGATATCAATAACATACAGTGTAGAACTTGTTATTATATAATACATTATTATATTATGATGACCTAATATTGTAATGTATGAATTGATAAAAATGCTATTAACGTCGGGTCATGAATGCTTTTCATTTTCTAGAGGACATGTGATAATTTAAGACATTGATTTATAGATTCTCGAAAGGAGGGAATCTGATTCTGAGAAAGTAATGCTTTTTCTAAAATAACTAGAAAAGATGGTAGTTAAAAATTTCGTCGATTCCCATGGCCCTACAGTGAATTAAGTAATTTATTTACTTTCGTGTGTATACTTTCTCTCATCACCGAGTACCTAGCAAAACCTTTAAATATTATCAATATTGAAATGAATTACAGTACCATTTACATCATGTGTATTTTTCTTTGAAACACTACTGTCATAGATACTGCCTTTTTATTGATTATTGTCCCTCTTTATTTCTTATTTTGCCTGTGTAATCTGTGTTTTGCTGTTGTTCTAAGCATATTTTCGTCCTCACGACTTCTCTTCAATTAACTTGTCCTGTATGCAAGATTTTGGAAAACTAGGGCAAGTAGGATCAGAGTCAGTGAAAACTATTTAATAATCTAAAAATACGTTTTGAAGATGTTGAATGAATACTAGGAGCATAAAGGCAAAGACATTTTTAAGGCAACTAATAAACAAACATAAGCTAACCTACAAATTATCTCGTTGCTTTTTTTTGTTTGTTTATTGAAATCAAAATTATTTTTATACATACGAAACTTTTACAAAGGCTTTGCATTGAGGGAGAATAAGCACTACAGCGAATCTATCTTTGTAATATACACTAATATGATTTCGGGATGCTTCAATATATATAATTTCGTTTTAGGTAAGTATTAATATTTTATGTGTATGCCTATATATATGGTAAAATGGTGAAACTAGTTTATAAAACAACACAGGAAACTATCATTTTCTATACGATATTATAGACATACACTTTCTGATAGCCAACACTTGTCTCGGGAATTACTTCCTATCTTTTTTTTTTTTTTTGCTTATATACTTAACAAGAATTTGGGAAAATATTGCAGAATGCTTGAATATTGTCCACAATTGTTAGTCAAAATATTATCTTTCTAAATATTCCTTTTCAATAAGAATAGAGATCACTACCTACTATTGTTTTATATTACCCACCAAGTTGAAAAAAAAACGCGACCTGGATAACTAATGAATGAATAAATATTTGTTGTAATTTTTTTTATCAACTCTATAAGTGTAGCTACCAGTTTGGCTGCCAATTTCGATTTAATTCCTTTAAGTCGCACGTTCAATACTTTTTGGGCGCATCTATTTTCACACCTAAGGTGTTTTTGATTAGATATAATTTGCAAACACACACACCTCTTATCTTAAGCTAAGAATCTTTTTTACTTGTAATTTAAACATACTCGTCTTTATAATAATTTCTTCCAGTCATTAATGTTCATAATTTTGTATTTATAAAATAAATATAAGTTAGTTTACTGACAAATAAACATTACAAAAGGTGATTACGTTCTACATTTAAAGCGAAAATGGTAGTTTTAACAACTGGGGTCTTTCCTTTATTACACCGTGTACATCATAGGTTGTAAACTGGTTAATTTAGACTTAACTCAGCTTCGCAATCCATATAGAGTTAATCGTATTTTTATTTCACATTCTCAGCCTTAAATTGCAGAGCAACAAAATGAGTCATAAATAGATATAAATAATTTCTGTTGCATATAGAGGGTCATGTTTAGTGTGTTACTAAGCACAAAGCTGCACAATGGGCTATTTGTGCTGTTCCCGCTGCGAGTATTGAAACACAAATGTTAGCGTTATAAGCCCTCAAACTCACCGCTAAGTCAACGAGGACAAAGGGCCGTATCCAGCTGCCCATACTTACGTTATTTTGGTATATTTGACCGTTCATGCCCTAAAATATGTATACGTGATGAATCCCGCATATGCTTTGTGTGCCTTTTGTTCGTCACATAATATGAACAATAGATAGCCGTTTATCTCTTCAAATAACAAATCGTGTTTCTAATTACATAGAAATGTTCGGATAGGAAAGTGTCCGATAAGAAGATCTACACCACCTTCGCAAGGACATTTCCACCGAGCTCAAAAGAATCAAAGTCAGTGATCTCTTTACTCAAGCACTTCAAGTGGACGAAAATCATCCTGGTGGTTTCGAAAAAGCCTTCAGATATACAGATGGAAGAAGCTTTAAACGGTGTGGCTGCAGAACACGGCGTCATCATAACTGAGACGCACTACATCCCGGGCGACTACCTAACAAAAAACAATGAAACGATCAAAGAAATTATCAAACAGACTTACAAGAAAACCAGAGGTGAGATTCGTGCCAGTTATATTAGTTAGGTTTAAATCTAGGTTAAAACTGAGAAGTATGTGGGTGTATAAAATGAGTTTTTTAAGTTAGTAGAGTACCATAAATTTGAGTCATACTCAAGGAGTTTTCTTTTAAGTTAGTAGAGTACCATAAATTTGAGTCATACTCGATAAATAAACAATAAGATTAATTTTAAATTTATGTTTACACTGTACACAGTTTATGGTGTCAGCTTCAAAGTTTAACAGAAACTCACAGTAACATAATAAATCTAAAAGTCCAAATTTGGACCAACAATGCTGTTTTATTACATTCCTAGTGGAAACGATTATTGCACAGAAGAAAGTTATATTAGCGTTGTTGTATGTAAAACTTGGTTTGGCGCAAAAGAACGGCAGTATGAGGTTATTACATATGGTAATAAGACGGTTTTAAAAGAGATAGATAATTCTAAAATCTCTGTATTACCGGGTAAGAATAAACTACCTAAATTTATCGCAGATTACAAAAAATTTAAAATTAACAACGTACCTGAAAAAAATGCAAATTAACACATAACTTTTATCATTGCAATTTTTAAATTCAATACATTTTAGTGAACCATATAATAAGAAAACAACTGCTCCTTCTCAACTTATGTTCCCTAATACACTCATATACGCAAAATATAGCAAATTCCCTTGTGCCAAAAATAACTCAAAGAAATGGACACTTAATTACTTGTACGATTTGAAACATTTGATTCTTTGTAAAACAGACCTGCAGCTTGTTGTGCAATGAAAAATGTTAACAGTTAGTAAAATGAGTATTATAAATTCCTATTATGTTTTTCCAGAACCTTTACATCATGTTAGGCGGATGAGCATACAGGTTATTTGCCATTTCCAAGAGTAATTCTCAAGAAGTTAAATCGAATTATTTTAATCATATAAATACTGACTGTAAATCATGGAATCAGCGTAGTAATAGTTCACTTCACATTCTATGAGTTGTTGAACTGAACCATCTCCAATCGTGCTGTTAAAACAGAACCAGAGACGGTACCACGTGCACTAGATTATTCAACCCATCAGACCCCAAAAATGATCAAAGTAATAAACGAGTTAAAAACTCAGCTAAACAATTTACATACACAACAAGAAAAACAGAAAGCAATATCTATCTCTAATATCTCCATCTAACGGTAATCGTATATGATCAAAGACGTATGTCAGCTAATAAGAAAATACACCTCCTTTCTCGGTTATATGAATGCCTGGGTAGGCTTAGTAAACACGATTATACCCTTCGTTACAGTTTTGCTGAGATACAATAATCGTTTGCTCCAGATTAAGCAGATTAATGGCAAAACGTTGAGAAAACGAAGTGAAATACGTTTTCTTTTCTGAAGTATAGTCTTTTATGACTAATTATTTAAGTAACCTACAAAAACAATCTATAAACAGATTATATCAAAAGGAAGGATAGCGTAAATTTTACACAGTATATCCAAACCTTAGATGAAATATTATTTAATTTAATAGAGAAGGAAAATAAGAAATAGATAAATAAAAGAAAATATATTTGAAAAAATAATACAAACGCAGCCACAAAACAAACATGCAACACGGGGGCACAAATCATAGGGTGGGTCGTTATGTAATGTGCCCTGGTTTTTTTAGGTTCCGGAGGAAGTAATACTCAAATTGCCTTAGGGGTACACAGTCTATCCGGTTTAACCTCAAGTTCGCCGCCCTCACATGCTCAGAGGAAAAGAAACAGATCTTTACTACCTTTCACTATCTGGAGCCAGAAGTGGGAAGGTGGCTTCTTACAAAAATAATAAATGAATAAAATAAAAACAATAGTAAGAAAGAAGATAATTAGAATACAATACATGAACGGAGTAGACAACAAAACTGTTCTGGCATTCCAGCCCCCGATATGACTTTTGGAGATACAAACCAAGATATTGTGGTTTTACTATATTAAACCCAACCTTTTATTATTAGTATAGCTCCTATCACCCACCTTTCCATTCTAAAGACGTACACAGTAGCAGGTCTTGGATATATATATAGGTAAAGTGATACAGCTACATTAGTCCACCTATATGAAATACAAAATTGTCCAAGTAAGTAATTCTAATTATTTACCTTTCAATAAATTTCAGAAATTATTATTATTATTTTTTTTGTGCTCAGTTACTCTTTTTATTTTAGCCAATTGTGTCCAAGTGGTTAACATGTTAGGCTGGGGTCAATGGATCCAGAGTACAAGATGTGATGTCGCTGTGTACACTCTGCACTTACAGATGTCAAACTAACCATTTGACAAGAGTAGCCATTAGTTGGTAGATGTTGCTGACTATTTGTCCAAAATCAGTAACTATACCTGAACCCTAGTGGTCTTTGAACTGGTCGTTTAGGCCACTTGTTTATATGGTGATCTTTAGGGTGAAATAATCAATTCCTTATTTCTCTGTTATATTATACAATCTCTTATAATGGTATTAATAATGTTCATTTAATGCAATTACAAACTAATCCGTCGATAACCAGCTTTAGAAAAATGCCGTTCTGGAACTTTGGAAATATTTTCTTTGAATTACAAATTTTCATTTCATAGTTCTTTTGTTCACTGAATTGTAATGATTATTCTTAGCTTAAGGGTTAGCTTTATCGTTTATTCTGTACAAAAAGTACTAAATAAAGCGGAACATTTGAAGGCTTGAATAGATGTAGAATATTGGCTGTCGCTGTTATCTATTATTTATGCATCGATACTGTGCTGTATATATCTAGAAAAGTATATGTAGTGGCTGCTTTATCCCATGTAGTATTCATCTCATTATAAGGCTGACAATTACTCAATTTGGAACAACCATATTAAAATAGCGCGGCTAATAGTCTGTAGACTCTTGTCATTAAATCTCCATCTTTATATCTTTTTGTCGTTAAAACAAACAAACAACTAGAAAAAATACTCGTGCTAAACAGTGGCTTCCTTTAAATATTAGGACAAAGATTTTATAAGCTTAAAACTAATAGGATCTTTTTTCAAGCTTTTTTTCTCACTTTCTATTATCGTTTCTGACAAACTGCATAAAAGCACTGGTTTTGAAATGAATTATTTGAATAAATTATTTCCTGTAAGCGCAACAAACAAATCTTAAGCCACCTGTTCTTTATTTAAGACAAATATCGATTCCTTTGAAACTTGAAAGAACCTTAAAGAACTTTGAAATCCAAAATAATTTTCAACTTTCAAAATTTTCGCTGAGTTATATCAAAAATTACCTTTTATTATTTCCCCGATTGCTTAAAAAATGTATTTCAAACACGGACATTCAAGAACACAAAATCTATCTTTTTAGGAGATAGAAAGCTTTTCTATTGTGAATAAAGGACGTACACATTAAATATTTACTCATATTCGTCATACGCATTGATTCCATTTTGTCAATTCCTAGTGAAAGGAAATGTCTTCGTAAACTTTCCATTATTTCCTCGAACACCTTTTGTGTCAGACCTATTTAAGAAGTATTGACAATCATTAGTAATCCAAAGCGAGCCTAAAGTAAAAACGTTAACCAAAGGTTTGCAGAATTTTAATGTCTAATAAATATTTTCCTGGATATTAACTAATCATTGATACTATTCTGATTATTTTCCCGAGTCCTCCATCCCCTTCCCGATGGCTCAGAGGTAAATTTGAGGACTTATAAAGCTAAGACCCCCTGTGGGGCAGCAGTGGTAAGTGTACAGATTCAACCCTAAATTCCGGTGTTCGATTTCTGATGGTGGACAAAATCTAGATAGCCCATTGTCTGGCGTTGCACTAAGAAAAGGAAAACAAACAAATAACATTATAATGCTGAAATTCGAGGTTCGATACCCACGCTTAACAACAAACAAACAAAATCCAAGTCCTTTTAGTGTGCTAGGACATCTTATTGTGATAAAACTCGCTCAAACTATTATGAATTTATTTCACTGTCCTTATGTTTTTATTTCTTGTAGTTAAAACACTAATCTTTTTTTTTGAGGTCAGTGCTGACTCTCTTTCATCCACAAAATTAAAACCTGTATCAGAGAGTAAAAATATTACCTACCCAGCGTATTATGTTTTTATTTTATATGTATTTATTAGGCTTAAATACTTTTTACAAACGCTAGGAATTATCCTGCTTATTCTATTCTTGGAGATAAATTAGAAAATAATCTTCTAAAATGCTAGCATTTTTAGATGTATTTCAACCTAGAAAGCTGCGATATTATTTTTTGAAGCAGTATTTTTTTTACTTTCGTGAACTTTGAATTCATTTTATGACGAACAAATGTCCAAAATCTTCAGTTTCAACCAGTTATATCATGTTGATTCAAACCGTTTTTCTCTGCTTGTATGTAACCTGTCTGTGAGCGGGCAAGGTATGAACAATAGTCGTTAAATTGTAGAGCAAACCTTTAAAATACCACATTCATAACGCTGATATATGATCTTAAACGTGTCTTTTAAATTTACTTGAACGACTCTGAAGTCTCGAAGGCATAGAATTTGAATATTTGTCCGTAAACTTTCTGCCAAACTATTGATAGATTAACTTTGAGCTAATGGTGACGGAAACAATTTCTCTTACTTTTTTTTTACTACTGTGCCATACAAAGGGTTCTTTTCGTTCACCAGTATTTAACTTTTAGGATTTTACCATATTGTTTATTACTTGAATTGATAAAAAAGTTTGTTTTTTTTAAGGTGAAGAACATTTGATAAAATACGTTGATGTTTTATATCATTCAAACATAAATGTCGGGAAGAAGCTTAGAAGAAAGGCACAATATGTTTTAATAACATTCCCTTCTATTCTTCGAATTTTTCAATTTGCATCATTTGAATAATTATTTTTACTTCAGCTAAAAAACATATGCTGTGAATATTTTCTTAGTTATGTCAGATTCAATATAGTTTAGAATATTAGTTTAGTTAAATAGACAACAAGACTCGACAAGTAACTATTATAA